GGGAATAGAAGTTCTCACTCGGCGCCAATGTGGCCCATTCCGGCGCATTCTATAAGTCTCTTAAAAAAGGAGAATGGAAAAAACTGTAAAAAATGGTATGGAATGGTATGGTATGGAATGGTATGGAGTGGTATGGAATGGTGTGGAATGGTATGGAATGGGACGGAATGGGCCATTCCGTCCCATTCCGCTTTTTCCCCCTTGTATATTTGTGTATTCTGATATATTCTGGTGGTTTTGATACTTTTCACTTGTATAGTTAAAAATTTCGCAAGTGAAACTATTTAAGGTATATGAGAGAGGTAGAAATCTGAGAAAAATAACTGAAATTAGGACTCTCTCTAGCATGCTACATGAAAGTCGTCGAGAGCTGGTCGCAAAGATAAGAAATCAATGCACGTTCATGGACATTGGTAGAAAAAGAAACTTTGTATGAGCCAGAGTGGATGGTGAAGAAACTAAAATTATCATCCCAACATTGCTGATAACTGTCTTTTCTTTCGCTGCGCAAATCCTGCAAGGTCTGATCTTAAAAAGTTTGAAGAAAAATCCCTTAAAAATACTCGTTTTCTTGTACGAGCTTTTAAACAAGTTTATGCAAGTTTTTTGTAGTTGGAATAAATTAGATGTGCATCTACATTCATGTGCAACATTGAAATCTGTCACAGAATGATTAAAAAGTGAGAATCAAACAGAAAGTGCTTTTAGGAGCTACGTAAATCGTTGCGTACCTTCCGTGCTTGCTTCGACTGCAGACCCTGGTCCACTAGCATTTCGTGTTGAACCTTGATCCAATAGAATTTACCAGTTTCCCTCCTCTTCCCGTCAGTTTCTTTTCGTTTCTCAAAAATTTCTATGGGCACACACACAATGTGCTCACTACTGTCCTATTTTAGGACACAGATAACTGTGTCTGTTGGTCTGCTAATATTTGTGTATATATGGGTGAAACGTATAGCCATTGTACCGTCCTTGTGCCAATCGCAAAAAATAAATCAATCTTTTTGTATTGCACGGACTCTGTTAAAAAATTTTCAAAAATAAAAAAAAGAAGAAAATTTTAAACCAGTTTCTTGATGGACTGCATATTACTTTTAAAAAGCATTATTTTCACACTAACTGTCCCGTCACTTTTTGTTTTTTGCAATATCCCTTGAAACTGTTGATCCTTTGACTTCAAACGTTCACCTGTCTATTCTGTTGTAGTTTTGATCATGTAATGAAAATTTAAACTTGATATCTCTGATCGCTTCTGAGTAAACTGTATTTTACTGCGAAAATGCCCTGTCACCTTGTAATAGCAATAACTCCATGAAAATCTGAAAGAATCTCTACTTATCATACACCATTGAATTCGCCTTTGGAAGGCAAATCGTTGTATAAAGATTCAAAAATTTTCTCGTTAAGCGGGTAGCGAATTTTTAGGAAAACTTTGTCTCTTATCGTCAAACACTATATTTTTCGGACATATTTGTGTTATGGTTAACTCACTCATTACAGCCTGCAGAGTCATCTGCCATTCTGGGATTGAGATCTGTCTTCTCGGTCAAAATGGTCACTAAGTCTAGAAAAAAGCTCAATAAATTCTGAAAGAGTGATTGAAAAAAAAGACGAAAAATCGGAAACCCCATGCATTGGACAGGATTCGGTGAAAATCGATTTTCTTCACTAATATTCCATTGGCTGCTCGGAAAGCTTGCTCTCATGCGCATTAAAGGATGCTCTACTGAATGACCGTTTACAAATATTTTGATCTAAACGGTGAATTTTTTTCGCGCATAACTCAGCCGGTTTTCGATCAGACTGAAAAATCTTCCCGTTAAATTCGTTAGACTTTCCCCTATTCCGACATATAAAAGACCGGCGAATACCATACGCGAACACTGCAAAGGATTAGATAAAAGTTAACCTTTTGTAGGCATGTATAGAAAGTGCATATCTCCACATAGGCACTTGATATCCTTGGCTTGGTGTAGACAAAAGTTTTACTTGATTCTCATTTATTGTTTTTGGCGATTCAAATGGCGCATTCACATACACCACTTTTCAAACCAAAATCAAATAAACTTCCCAAAAAGTGCTCTGATCCTAATGTGGAAAAACTGCTTGAGTAGATCGAAACCCTATCTAATTTCAACAAAACTTCAACAAAAACAAATTGTTGGCTATGGCGAACATATACTGTTTTTAAGGCTTCAGTTTGTTTTCACCGGTCAGGTTTTTCGATTTTTAGAACAAAATTGGAAGCGCTATTTGGACGACTGTTTTTTACCATGGCCGTTTGACAACGAAACACTAATTCTTTTTCAAAAACATTTAGATTTCTTAGATCCAAATCTAAACTAATCTTTATTTTAACCGGTAACGGCCAACAAATACCATTTTTAAATGTTCTAGTAAAAAATCATCAGGCCAAAATCGAAACCGATATATTCTATAAGCCCACAAATTCTTTCCGTATCTGCATTTCGAAAGTTCCCACCCACGTTCGACTAAAAGAAATATTCCTTACAATCGTGCCCAAAACATTTGTCTTATTGTTTCTGATGCATGTACTCGAGTTTTACGACTAAATGAACTGAAAGAATATCGCATAGCATGTGTCAACGCTGTTTTACAGTATGATCAGCGACGTAAAATGGGAGCTGATGGTATTACATTGAAGCATATTGTCATTGTGAGTCATCTGATTGGGCAAATAATATACAAATATGATTATGTCGGCGATAATAGTCAACGGTTTGTTTCTGTTTAATGGCATCATTTTTACATAAAAGTCAACAATTGATGATATCTGGTGTTAGCATATCTAAGGCATCGTTCTATGCAAAAGGTGCTGAACTATTACCATTCAGATTGTTAGTCTAACACGCTTTAAACAATCATTATTTGTATTATTTAAATTAAAAGAAGGTGGACATAAAATGACAATTGACAAAGAATTTATCGATGGCATGATTAAATGCGTTGCTGATAATTTGGGTATATTTCGTGATGGTGGAGAAGAACGTTTCTGTTATGTCAACATCAAAACTTGTGAAGAAGGCTACTGTTTATTCTCGAAATATTTACTTGAAACTGCATTGCGACTTTTTGACACAACAATCCAACAATTCTCGAGTGGCCCATTTGCTGCAGGTGAGCAACCTGCTGGAATTGGTTTACTACAAATTGGTGAACGGAACTCGTTGGAATCTCGTTTGTTGGCTGTGCCATATCGTTTCTTTTTAAAAAATGATTTGTCTGGGAAAATAACTGGTCCGAACGGTACTAAAGTAAATGATCCGGTTCACAACGATAACCCTACTGATCTTTCATTAGCTTTGAACGTATTAGTGTCGAAACAGCTACTACCAGCTGGTGAATATATTCAAAAACGAAAACTGCTCGTAGTAAGTCCTATGACAAGTGTTCCGTGAAAGACGATCCGGCTATTATTTCATATTTGAAATCGATTGGTATAGATGGCGGTGGTTATCGTCTTTACCAGTTAAGCCCGTGAACGTGATTTTGTTACCACATAGCGAAGCTTTTGTGACTGCTAATGCTGGTGAGTGCCTTTTCAGGTAGAAAGTATGAGTTTTCAGGCTGTCCATTCTAGATGAACCGATATTAGAGAAATACCTTTGACTGCTGAGTCGAGAAAATCTCAAGTTTTGGCTCTTTTCTAACGATCGTGACTCTCATGGCATCTGCCACTCCCCCCGGCACCTGCACTTCGACACGAGCACGCTATATACATCAATACGCATTATGATCATCCATTGCATAGCTACAGCATTTGTTTTTAATAACTTCATTCCCAGCGAATGCGAATCCATTTTTTAGCAAATCAAACTCTCGGCGAATGTGTACGAGCTCACGCATCGAAAATTCATGTAAGGTGTTAAAAACCCCGTGCAATAGATCCAAATCGAAGACGTTTTCCGTTGAGTTTTTTTTGGGAATACGCACTACCTTGGATGAATACACTACCTGGATGGTCTAAATTCTATGCCTGCCTAAATGGTAAATCTGTTGTCAAATATGATAATTATGATAGTGACATCGTCCAAGGTGATGTTCTTCGCCCGATATTAATTTGTGAAGCGAAAACAATTGAATTGTACAATGAACATTCCAGAAGACATTATACGATTCCCATTGATGTGCACCACTGCCCTTATCCTTGGCAGTTAAATGTTTGTTTATTCAGTCCTGGTGATCGTATTCGTATTTAGAATGAGGAAAAAAAGGAAAATATAGAACAACATTCAGTAATATCATATTTTGTTCTTTTTTCTCTCAGCTGTAAATTTTTGAACAGAAATACACAAGATTATAATCTTCTCTAGTGAAAGGCAGTTCTAATAATTGTGTCGATCACCAGTGAGCCATTGTAACTTATTCTTCACTGTTCACTGAGAAAAGTAGACTTTAATTTTATCTAATCTGTCTCGGCGCAGAGCTGAAACCCACGCTTGTTCGTGGACAAGGGTAAGATTTTGAGACTGAGCGAATGCACTCGAACACAGATAGAAAAGTGCTGTCCGTCTCATTCGTACTCTGACAACTTACAAAACGTTTCTCTTCATTTGAACATGTAAGAATCTGCACCAAAGAAGAAAACAGTTGAAAATCTGAATAAGGACAAAGATGATCTTTCGGCCTTACTTATCCGCTTCTTTCCTTTTGCACTGCACCTGATATGACTCTCATTTATTTCGTCGGTTTTCGTAAACCGAAAAACTGTCCATCAAGCTTGTAGTGAAGGTTTTTGAATGTTATTCAAGTTTTGCACTTCTTCCCAATGTTTAAACAATGAAAAGAGGAACCAAACATATAAATTTAGCTTGCGTTTATCATCGTTTTTAGACTATTCGATGGCATCTCAAGAAAAAGTTAATTAAACAGGTTTTGAACTTCTAAAATTGTTTTTGTCGTTCTTTTACTTTTCTAATTCAGAAACAATAGAAAGTAAAAATCAGAAGCTCAAAAATGATAGGAAATAAATTCCAACATTCAAAGATGTGTTTAACTGATTTTACTTCTCGGCGACTCTATCTAACAGTTCTAAAAACCGGGACCAAATTTACGAAAAACTAAAAAACAGAAATTTTTATAAACAGTCGGAAAAAGACTGCCGCTTTAGTGAGAACTTGATTTTGAAATTTAAACTCTTAAATGCACGCTCTCAATATACACTCTCTCAGACAATAATGTTAGCAAAGTTTAGAAGCACATGTTTCAAAAAGTGTTTATTGATTATGGTGCTAGAATTCGTTGTTCGAGATCACTTGAAAATGTGCTCTTTTTATTGTCATTGTAATTTAGGGAGAATGTTTGTTCTCATTCTTAGTGCAATATTCGTTGATTATGTGTTTATGTTTGTGATTAAATATGAAGAGTTTGAATCATTTCATAGCCACAAAAAATGGAGTTAACACCAAAGGTCTCCACTGATAAGATTAAATCTTTGTAAACGATGGTTAGATTGATCTACAACATACAGATTTCCTTTCGAATCTAACCCTACACCGTTTGGCTCGTGTAAACGTTGGGAATCACTGCCGATAGACCCTGTTACACCTGCAACTGTTTGAATTGTACCGTCTCTCACACTCCACCTTTGAATCCGATGATTATATTCGTCAGAGACAAAGACGTTTCCGTAAGTGTCGACTGTTAAACTCCAAGGCTTATTCAAATGTTGAGAACCATTTCCTGGTTTCCCACTGACCCCCATTATTGTTGTACCATCTACCTGATTCATTTGTGGATATCTACGGACGCGATGATTACCAGCGTCCACTATGTACAGTGTGTTGCATTGATCAATATAAATTTCGGATGGGTTGTTTAATTCATTCGGTTCTGTAACAACTGTGCCAAACTTTGATCCACGCGAAAACTTCAAAATGCGATTGTTGAGCTGATCAGCCACATACAACTGTTCTTCGCGATCAATGGCTATGCCGATATTTACCTTAAACTGGAATAGTTCACTACCTGAGCCTCTTCCACCTGCAATTGTTGCACCAATCACAGTACCAGAGATAAACTTTTGTACACGATGGTTACCAGTATCGCCGACAAAAAGATTATCGTCTTTGTCAATGATTATTGTATGAGGAGACCTTAGCTGAGTTGGTCCATCTCCTACTCCCATTCCACCTGCTACAATTATTCCCTTAGTCGAGCCTAATATGAAGTGTTGAACAGTATGATTATGTAAATCTGCGATATAAAATGTGTCGTGTTTATCTATGAATAGTCCAACAGGGCGACTTAATCCTGTACCAACTGTTATTGCCTGTGCAGACCATTGTGGTTTCATACATGCTCTATTGGCTGGTATTTGAGGCATTTGATCGCAGATGTACACAGTTGCACTGCAAGAATGACCTGTGAAAAGAAATTCAAGCCAAAACTATTATCAGTCTTTCTACTGTTTGAACCTTTAGAAGAATCATATTGTTTACTTTGACATTGTTCTTTTGTCATATTTCCAAACTTAACCGTATCAAATGATTGTTGATGACTTTTTAAACACTGAGCAAATTGCCTGTCACAGTCACAGATTTCGTATTCACAAGTGTCTACTTCATCCGTACATTTGATCGTTCCTTGGTGTAGTAGTGAGCTGTATTCCCACGAAGCTGAACTGCACGATTCTAGAGAACTGTAACATTCGTGGTGCTGACGACAGCATCGATCACTTTTATCTACAGTTTTAGTATAATCATCCTTCCAATTGAACGGATTACACCTAGGTTTTATAAAAGAGTATTTGATGACTTCACTGTTCGAGCTATTGCAGCCTTACCAACATCCGTAGTTAGTATATTCTCTTATTGGCTTCTGAGTCAAGTATGACACCATTTCACTAACTTGATTAGAATATTGAGCGCTTGTCTCCATTAGAAGTATGAGACATGAGAAAAGAAGACGAAAAAAAGCATTTGACTTCATTTCTTTTTCCTCGCTATGGATAATGTGTTATTTTAAAGAAAAATGACTTGACGAAGTACACGGTTTTAAAACTCTTTTAGAAAGGTAGATAAGACTCTTTTTCCTTTGTAGTTCTGAAATATAATGACACAAAACAAACTCTGCACCTTTTAGTCTTGAAGGTAATCCTCATTAGATCATTTATTACTCAGATTAAAACCGCATGAAACAAGTACAATAAATTAAAATTAAAATATAGTTTAAATACAAACTCATATAACAACCTATTATAAGACAGTTGGCGTTGTACCATGGAAGAAAATGTACTACATACTACATGTGAGGTAAAAATATGATTTTTATACATTAAAAAACCAATTATACATTGCATGATTCTTTGTTCATCATCAATAGGCAAACATCGATTTGATACGCAAACGTGAGACATACCAAAAGTGTATTCTAAAAAAATATTGTTATGTGAAGTACAAGCCTTCTCCCGACGTCAGAAACATAAAACTTTTTTATAAAAATTTGATATTGTGCTAAATACATCATCAGATAGCGCACAGTATCTAGTATCAGGACCCATTGTTATTTGGTCCTAATTTTGAGTGTGTATGGAGATCTTCCCAGAGCCTTTCTCAAACCCTTGAAAAACGGACTTTTCGAAACAATTTGTTTGCAATGCAAAAACACATCTAAAAATATTTCAACGAAAAATCGCCAAGAGCACGGGAAGGTTCTAAATTGAAGCTGACACACGTGGCTTAAGCTAATACACAAGGCAAACCTACCCGTAGTGGTCGATGTCGATGTTGAAGTTGCTAAAGAACAGAGAAAAATACGATAGATTACTCAATTGTCACAGCATTCCCTGAACAGCTTTATCACCCTGACTGAAAGCCTTGGACCATATAAACTAATATCGATTTCCGTCCGCACAAGAAGGAAAGGAAGATTGCAAACAAGTATTGAGGTGGCAGTGAGTGGAAGGAGGCTGTCGACCATGGACGTCAACAGGTGTCTCTCTGTTCGGGAGAGCACTTGAAATGTATTGATCTTGTCGCTGATAATAGCCAGATGGGATAGTGATCTGTGTAGTCAGTAGGTGTCTTATGTTTTCTGGTAAGTTTAAACGAAAAATACTTTTTTATATGAGGAGGTAGCCAAGAATGTCTTTTGTATATTGGAGATTAATTGACCGCTTAGTCCATGAAAAATATTTGATTTGCATCCGTTATTTGCCTGTATTGCATATTTGCACGAGCTTTTTCTTGAACAATCTGTCATGTAATATATGCTACTCTTTTGTATATCTTGGTTATTTTGTCAATGAAATCGATGTTAGATAAAAGGTAGACAAAAGAAATAGAGCTAAAAATATCATTGACAGCGTCTTAAAACATTAGAGAAGAGAAGACAGAGTATAAAACTAGTACAAAGAACATGATACGATTTTGAAATGCTGATCTTGACAAAATAAAATCGCGATCTTAGAATTTTAATCGCGTTCGTGATCAAGTTCATTATGCGATCCCGTTCGATTTGTGATTCAAGACTGTGACGGGGTCGCGGCAGGATTATAGCAAAATCATGTGTAATTCGCGACAAAATCTTGAGATTTTTCCTTTGCCCGATCTTGTCTGGATCCCGTTTCAATCTTGCCACGATCTTAGCAGGATTTCAGCGCGATCCCATCAAAAACATTTTCACGTCAAGATTGTGAAATTTTCGTTATACGGGAAAAATAGCAATATTAAGTGCGATCGCGGTAGCGATCTCGCGTTAAGTTTCAAATTTATTTTCAAAATCGCGGCAAGATGAGGCTTGTATTCTTGCCGCGAAATGAAGTGGGAATGCTACTAGGATGACATATTGATCTAAAATAACAATTTATAAAATAAAAAATATCCAATAAAAAAATGCGACCTATTCATTTACTACAATGTGAATATTTATATCGTAATAAAGAAAGCTCATAAATTCATGATAACGTCCCTTTATAAAATGCATTGATTCCATGTGTAATGCCACACATTTATGACTGTGTTTCATATTTTATATTTCATATTTTGACAATAAATGAAATTTTTCCGACAGAGTAGTGCCGATTGATCTCTTTTTGCCTCCTTAAATGAATGCTGAAGTCGATTTTCTAATAAAGAGAAGCATTTTGCTGAGACTCTTGCAATATAACAAGTTTCTATAACTGGTCTACATTTACAATATTTTCATCATAATCTCATTATGAACTTGAGTCTTATCATATATGAGATCTATGTTATCG